GATTCTATATGCACATATATATTTCCCTTCTTAGTGAAAAATATCCATTAGGGTACACATACCTGTCAGGCTCTAATCTTAGAGCCACGGGTTTGTATGGGAGGAAGGAAAAATTCAACTCAATCCAGTCGCAGATAGCCTCCTGAAGTCACCTTGTTGCCCCCTGCTTGCAAGCCACCATCATCATGTCCTACACCTGCCAACCACCCCCTCTTAAATAGCCCCCACCGCCGGCATGACGCCCCACACCTGAGTGTATTTGAAGGTCCGTCGGCGGTGTAGATTCCATCTGCGCGTGCACAGTCAACCCGCGCCTGCGCATTACAATTGCGTCCCGCTGCCACTATGGCAACCAGGGACGTCAACAGCATAGCAAGCCGAGGTGGCCGATACGGTCCACCTCCAGCTTGGATTCAATCTGCGCCTGCGCCGTCAGGCCGCGCTTGCGCATTGCACTTATGCCCCGCTGCCACTAAGGCAACCAGGGACATGGAAAGTCTAGCAAGCCGTGGATGGCCTACACTCTTGTCCTCCCTTATGGTCTGGTGGCAGCTGCTCTATTCATGTGCATTCTGCTTGCTGATGTGGTTATGAAGGATATCAGTAATATGATGGAATCCATAGGTCCCCGCGTCAATTGAGCCCTACTCCATTGCAACTCCCTATCCCCCCTGTTGTTATATGGGGGAGGGGTGGGGGGAAAAAAGGGGGGTAAAACATTTTTGAGAAAATAGTAACAAAAAGGGGAGGTGACACATGGAGGGAACATCACTCCGCCAGGGACAGCATCATATATGATATATGTAATAGCACATCGCTCAAAACACTCCCCTTATAGAAGGCTCCATCCTATCAATAATATTTCAGCTCAGAGGGACAATTTCTCAAACAGTGAAATCATACATTATTGAGTGGATATACATGCATAAACATAAATATAATTACATATAGGTAAACGCATTTCACTCATCATACATAATCAATTTATTTAATGAAAAATTCCCAGAGTCATATATGAATTTGTATTGTTCTTTTTCAAAGCACTGATCAATGTCGATCCATATCCACATATTGATCCTTGTTTGCGCAGGCAAGCCCATATTGAGCTCTCTGCATTTTTTTATATTCTATAATCATGGGCAAGTAGGGGGTTCAGACATGAGAGCCAGTGCTGAGGGTTCTTATTTTATATCTACTTTAGGTATTGACAAATGATCTATCTGTCCGTGAGTCTCTCTGCCTATCTACTTTTTGTTGTGTCCATTGGACTTCTAATCTTATTTGGGAAGATATAGGTGTGGTAACTAATGGCAACCAGTCAGATTTCATGCGAAAGCAGTCGGGTGTTTGCCATATTATTTTGATTGGATGGAGAATTCCACCCCCGCCTACACTCCGCACAGGGAGCTATATCCATTTCTAAGCTGCTTCCAGTAGGTGGTGAGTACCGGGTGTGCGATGGTGATAATGGTGGTGGGACTCTCTCCGTTTGGTTTAGCTGCCAAAGCACATCTCTTTACACTCTATGCTTTTTTAGATCTATTAATGAATTGTTGATATGTATTGATTGAATATACTATCTTTTGTTAGATCAGTTTTCAATCCCCTGATGAAGCCAAGTTGTGAAACGCGTAGGGATTGGACACACTGAATGTATCGATCCTTAATGGATATGTATAGTATGCTAAATGGGTTTATGCTCCTGGTCTAATTTTGTTTTTACTCATCGCAACTGCCTGTTGCTTTTTATATGTATATTTATAGCAAATGTGAAATAAAAATCATTTTTTTACGAAATGTTAAGCCTTAGTGAAGTACCTCTCAAAAACCCCTGATTTTCTTCTTGTGTTTCAATTGCCTTTCATTTCTGCCAGGCCTCAACCTCCAAAGCCTGACCCAAGCTAGGCACCTGGTTCAACCGGGCCAATTCTGGTGTTACCTATACACGTTAATAGCCAGTTAATTTCTGTGCAGTAAGGAATGTATCCAGCATTTCTGAGGGAGTCTATTCCACATTTTCAACTCTTAGCGTGAAGAAACCTTTCCATATGCAGAGGTTAAACCTCATTCCGCCAGATGCATAGCGTTCCCCCTTGTCCTCTGCAATGACCATAAAGTCCCCTAAGTCCACTATGTGGACCATTTACCGTAATTTTTGCTCCATAATATGCACTTTTTCCCCCCAAAAGGTGGCCAAAAATGTCTGTGCGTCTTATTGTGTGAGAGCTGAGGGAATCCCTATCGCCCGACGCCCGCGACATGCAGTTTCGGGCGCCGGGCAAGTAGTTTTTTTGTACATTTAGCCCTGCTCCTGACAAGCAGAGCTAAATGTATAGTGTGGAGCCGCCGCTCGTTTTCATGCAAGTGATCTTATTAGATCACTTGTATGAAAGGAGCAGCGGCGATCCTGTGTGTACATTGAAGAGTTTTACCTTTTTCTGTCTCAGTGACATCCTGTGCATCAGAGCGTCTCCAGGATAGGACTTTAGGAAAAAATTGGCAATGGCCAGAGTTGGGTTTTAATGAATCATTTTACATTTGTTTCTTTTGTCTTTTGTTACAGAGGCTGTATGGTATGGACCTGCGTAGTGCACACAAATCAAAAGAGAGGAAACTCTGCTTTTCTCTGTCTCGGAGATTCAGCAGTGGGCTGGGGACCAAACCTGCCACTGCATCCACAGTGCCAGAGAAAGCCAAATCACTGCAGTTCCCACTCAGCAAACAGCGCAAGGGACGAAAGTTTTTATGCCTCTCCCGTAAGAAGTTTCTACGGGTGTCCACCTATGAGTCTCTAAGCCGAAGGTCAGAGTTCTTTGCCAAGGAAGACGAAAAGGAAGATACACAGACCATTCCTAACTGGCAAGAAGAGAAATCTACTGAGGAAGACAAGCATGAAGAAGAAAAAGACAAACATGCAGATGATAATAAAGGTAACATAATCCCTTAAAATTTTAACAACTTTATGTGGTAAAACCACTAACTGGTTTAACTTAAAGGAGAACTATGAGGTGAGTGCTTTTCACTCACCTCATAGTTCTAGCCGACCTCTGACAATGAGACTGTCACAGGTCGGCTCAGTAGATCGTGAAGTGAGTGAACACATACCTGCGTTTGCTCACCTCTCAATCCTGTCACGGCTCTCTGCCGTGACGGGAGGGGCTGGATTCCCCCCTCCGATCCTGAATGCATGAAAGCTGACTGGCGGAACAGACGGGGGAGGGGGCGGGTACAGCTGGCTCTGCCTCTAGATAGGCAGAGCCAGCTGTCAGTCACGCAGCTGGGTGGATCCAGACATAATTGTCGGGATCTGCTTCAGCTGCGGTGTCTTAGTATACCGCGAGCAGCAGCAACATTGAAAGACAAAAGCTCACCATCACTGGTTTAAAACCTGTACTGTGTTGCCAACCACCTTTTGAAAATACCAGTTGCCTAGCTGTCTCTACTTCAGTAGAGAGACTGACTGGGAACAAACATGCAGATCATGTGAAGTCATAAATCCTAATCTGTATGGTCATTCTGAGGCAATGACTTAGAAAGTACTGAAGCTAGGTCATTATGACAGTAAAGAGCATATTCTTATCAAACAGTAAAAAAGCTTTAAAAAAGACATCATTAACCTCTCAAGCTGCTGTAACGTGAAGTAATTAATTCTCAAAGGTCCTCAAACATCACAACAAAGACTCTAATGCTGGATTCACACCATTGCATCTTTGCTTGATGCATGCTAACTTATGCGGTCGCGTGCACATTATGATGCAAGTAGATTCATTGTGAAATACATTAATGCGTGTTGATGTGTTATGACTAGGGCTGCAACTAATGATTATTTTTATAATCGATTAGTTGGCCGATCAGATTTAAAAAAAAATGAAATACCATGTTTTATCTGAAATGAAATACACAAATGGAGTGTTACTAACATATTTATATGTATATAAATAAAGCCCAGTCATCATTTTGGCGATACCTGACATGTGTAGCGCAATCAACGTTTTCGTACATAGGTGCTCCCGACTTATGTTTCAGTTTGTATTCCTGGGGTTGGTGGACTTTAAACTTTTTTGTGGGTATTTTTAATTTAACTTAATTTTTTTTACTTTATTGCTATCACATGGGGGAGCTCACAAAGCCCCTATGTGATAGCACATTGGGGGTGACAGGTTCTCTTTAAGGTGACATTATGGGTCTATTAGACACCTAGTGTCACCTTTCCACTTTACTGGGCAATGACAGCTGCCTGCTGAGGCAACTGTATGTAAATACGGCAAGCATCGGCTGAGAGCAAAAGCCAGCCTGCCATTGGCTATTTTACATTGCAATAGCCAATAGTAGGCTGACTGTTTCACCCACCAACTGCCTGCTGTCAATCAGCAGAGGAGGGGACTGAAAAAGAAGGTTCTCCTTCAGGTACTCCTCTGCTGATTGACAGCAGTCAGTGGGCGGGTACAATAGCCAACCTGCTATTGCCATTTAAAATAGCCAATAGCAGGCTGGCTATTGCTCCCAGCCGCTGGATGGGAGATTTGATGGCAGCGTTCTACTGGGGCAGCAGAGTAGGCACGGGGGCAGCAGCAGAGAAGGAACAGGGGCAGCAGCGGGGTAATGCAGCGGTCCATGTCCCCTCTCATCGAAGTGTCCCTTCTCATGCAGCATCTCCCAGTGAGGAGGAAAACGGAGGAGCAGAGCGATGCTGGCGGGGGGGATTTAATTAATCGGAATCAGCTATCATCAATTAGTTGTTGCAGCTCTAGTTATGACACACGAGGACACTCAGTACATTGGCTTTGCAACACTTATTGACTTAATTTCAATGTAAAAGGCATCAGGGGGAAAAACACATAAATGGTGTGACTCAAGCCTGATATTAAACCCAAACTTTTTTTTATATATTAGATGCTCAGGGTAGGATTTACATCATCTTTAGCTTGTTCTGCCATTTTTTTTTTCTCTCCCTCCTTTTCACTCTCTTCCCGATCACTGGCACCAACTTGCATTGTACAACAGCTTAGAAACATTTGCTGTTTGTTTACATTTGAAGTCTGGCAGGCTGCTTAGATTAGGATACAGTAGAAAGTAATAGGAACAAAATATTTCTGTACCTCTGTTGTGAACTTTGAAGACAAATACAGAGATGAATGAGGGGTTATTTTAAAGTGATTTAATTGCTTGTTGAGAATAGTATAGTGTGCTTAGTCTTAGCACCGGCTCACTATTTGTATGACCTCTTATTATTATTTTTTCAGATGATACAAAGACAGCCACTTCACCTCCCTGGCTTCCTGCTGTGCCCACACCTATCGAGATCACTGTTACTGACATCACCTCAAATTCTGTCACGGTGACATTCCGTGAGGCCCGGGCAGCAGAAGGCTTTTTCCGGGATCGCAGTGGTGAATGCTAGCTGCACCCTTCCCATCTGTTGTATCTTTCTAATACTCCTCTTTCTTCCTCTTCTGAACTGAAGTTTGAAGACTAGAAAGTAACTGCAAGCAAATGGGTGTTGTCCCTTTAACCGGCCTGTGTAAACGTGCAGAACACTGTTTCTGTGATTATAAGGGTGTAATGTTTCTTACAAAATGTAATGCCAGCTCCACAAGCTACAATTGATTTTCTTGAAATTTTCTCCCAGTTAAATAGCTATTAACTTTGTTTATAAAACTAAAATGCAAAAATGTTTTGCATGGGAAGAGATGCCAATTGTGAAAGATACTGCACAGAAAATGTGCCATAGTATATGGCATTGTACAGTTGCATCATATTTTGTTTTTAATGGTAGGTGTTTTAGCTACAGTAACACAGCGTCTTGTAAAAGCAGAATATATTAACACAACACCCTGTCCAGTATGACTAGGTAAAACCCATTTTAACTGCATCCACACCACAGGTCGTAGTAATCCAACTTATGTATTTGCACTCACAGCACACTGTAATGTTCAGCTGCTTGTATGATGTTCAGTCAGTTAGTGTACAAGCTCCTGAGTTTTACAGTTTACTCTCATTCTGCAATATGTATATTTATAATGGTATTATAATGCTGTATGTGCTATCTGCTTCTGTGCTAGTAAGCTTTATTTGTATCTTAATGATGAACCATTTGCACATATAGTATTTATGGTGTAGTTTACCTTTCACAGGTTTACTTAAACTTACTCACTATCTTGTAGATATTAGTAATGTATACATGAAATTCTATGCTGGCAAATATTTCATCATTGTCTCGGCAAGTGGAAAAAGTTTTCTGTGTATATATAACTTTGGATTTCTAGATTATTGGAAACCACAAACAAAGATCTAATTATTAGAAATCAATCCCAAAGTATTGTGGGATTTTTTTTAACCACCATTTGTACTATGAGGAGTATTTGTATTAGAAGATGACAGATAAAGAAAAATCTGATAGAAATGCAATTTACAAACTGTATAATACATTTTGAAAAACCTTACATATTTTTTCCTTGCAGCCTGTATACCAGCTTAACAGCTGCAGCCTTCTGGCTGCTTCTGTCAAAGTGCATTGTATGTGTGAGGCACAGGTGAGTCCATGTTTGTAAAGAAAGCCCTGTGAACAGTATGATCATTATCCATGCTGACTGGTTATCGATTGGTTGAATACAGCATGGTCAAAGAACTAGCAGTTGCCAAGGTTCCAACTGCTAGTATTGCCAAAGAACATTTACTAAGGTATCTTCAGCCAAGGGCATCATGCTGAAGAACATTAATAAACAGATTGTGTACGGGAATGGGTAAAAACCTAAATATTAACCTAATATTTTTCCTACAAAAAGAAATATGACAAAAAAAATGTACTTGGTGCCTGAAAAACAATGCACTAAATCCTTTTGCGGACAAAATTTCAGTGCCCAAAGTACTATGCCAGAAACTACTAATCTGATACAACTACTAGTTATCAGGTGGAAGTATACTGTGGCAGTACCGTTTGCCATGAATACCTTTCAGAATCTGCAGAAAAGACAGTGCTAATAGACATCAGTGATGTTTGTCCATATGCATATGCCGACTGCAGGTATTATGTAGTTGTCAGTTATCTTAAATGTTGCCATGGGCAATCCTAACAGATTTTAATATGGAGAGTTTAATAACTAAGTGCCTGAACACACGGTCTTGTGAAATTGTCAGACTAATTAATAATTGTATCCATTGTTTGAAAGCCGAACCATTTACAGCACTTAATTGTAGGAAAATGTATGTTAATTTAGTTCTTGACAGGCCAGTGGTGAACACTGTCCCTGGAAACTAAGCCTTTTTGATAACAGAGTGAAAACGTTCACTATCATTTTGCAGTTATGTATCATTCGAACCTTAGAAATGTTACTCTTACTAGATTGTTTCCATATCAGTCCCTACATCAGGAGAAAAACAGTTAAACATGAAAACCAATATGTGACCTAAAATAATGAGTGGAAATTAAGTTACTATTTTCTTGCTTTTCTGCGCTTTTAGAGGGTGTCCCAAATTTTATGACAATTGACCATTAACTTAGCATTTAAAGTCCCTCCCCCCATTTATATTTCTTCTGTCTACAGTAATTGAAGCAGTACATTAATTATAACAATGTCAGACATTACAAAGCTGACCAAGAAAAATGTATCTTATTGTAAATGTTCTGGATATCTCATATCTTCTGCTATGCTAATGTATATACTGGGAATTGATATGTAGCTTATATCATTAACTGTTTTCCTGTGTGTTTTTTGTACAGTGAAAACTAGTTTTCCTGTTCTACGAAACTTTATAATGAAAATCTGTTAGTGATTAGGCCAGATATTTTCATTGATCCCTTTTCTGTAGTGCGCTGCTTTATTATGAGGTTTAGAGGCAGCATAGTTGTACCATTATATTCATATTATATTGATATAAATACATTTTTTATGTGAACTTCTTCACGTGATAGCGCTTGGGACCAATTAATTAATATGTTCTTTAGCTTACCTATACTAACGGGTCTATGCAGTGCTAGCAGTGACAGCTAGCTCCGCCCAATAGTTTCCTATTGTCCGGCGTCTCTGCTGCCGTCAAATAAAAAATTAAAAACTCTCCCGGGCGCTCTGGGAGCCTCCCGCTCCCGGCCGCCCAGGAGAGAAACACTGCTTTTTCTTTTTTTTTTCTTTATTCTGGCACGGAGTGATGTCAGAATAGAAAAAATTTAAAATTTCCCATTGGAATGCATTGCTAAATTCCTATTGGCTATTTCAATTTGCAATAGCCAATAGTAAACTAGCATTGTACCCGCCCTCTGCTGATGGAGAACTGCAGTCTTTGTAATGGAGTTAATCTCAAACAGTTTGTTGCCAATGTTGCTGTCACCATTGAACATCTTGTACATGAAAATCATATTGGATTGGCAGGCTGCCTTTAGTATTATTCATTTGATGAACTTTTTCCTCAGTCCAGTAGTCTGGTCAAACAGTTGATAATGTGCAGCCCATGGGATACCCTTTTTACAAGTCCTATCTATATCATAAATATTTATGTATTATTTTCCCAATGAAGGAAATTCAATATTTCAAGGTTTGTGAGCCTTTAACATTTAAAAATCAATCTATTAAATAAAATACAGGTTATAATATTGGAGGATAGTAATACTAATAAAAACCTACTCTAACAAGGTATAATAGAGGGTAATTTAAAGGTCACACATTGTAATTTATAACTGCTGTGATGTCACATAACCTTGTCTTGTCAGCAGTGAGCCTTCATTATGGAACCGCACATGCGGTGTGGAGCTAATAAACCTATGATATACAGTATGTAGAACATTTTGCAGGACAACCTGTCAGATAGTAAAGGCCTCGAAATGCAGTGTGTACATTGAATGTTTCTGACAACAATCTGATGAGAATGTTGCAGGGTACTGTTTATTCTGAATAAATAGATTGTGCTAATGGCAAAGTAATATAAGGGGTTTTCCTAGCTTGAGCTGAGGTGAGTGCATCAGCTTAGGAAGCAGGTTTTCAACTTGGCACTTCCATGAGGTGGTGAGCCATTATTGTGAAATATGTATAATCCGCGCTTTATAGATCCATATGGATAACTCAATTAAAATATCAAGAATAAATTAATGAATGAATACCTCTATATTAGAGCTGCTGTACTAGGGACACTAGGGTCAGATAGTATATAACTGGATGTGCAGCGCTCAGGATTATCAGTGAGCCATTATTGATGAAAAAAAATTCACATCTCTTTATATTGCTTTTATTATCTTTGTAAATGTTCTACATTGATTTTTGTACCCAGTAGGAATGATTTACTATAGAAGAGCGTTTCTCACTTGGCCCAGTCAAATTGTATTCACTTCAATTATACAGTCATGTTTAAGGCCCCATTCACACTGCGCGATTCGTAAATCGCGCGATATCGCGCAAATGCTTGCATTGAGCGAGTGAGAATCGAGGCAAAATCCGCTCCAAAAAGGGTCCTGCTGTAGCGACACACGACCTGCGACAGCAGGACCCTTTGCCCCATTGCAAAGCATTGAAGAGCGATATCGCGCGGTAAATAGCCGCGATATCGCGGGAATTACCGTGCGATAAATCACTCAATGTGAAGGGGGTCTAAAGGTAACTGTTTATTTTTTTATTTTATTTTTAATTCTCTGTACATGATTGGGCATTTAAAGTGATCACAGGTTCACTTGGCTAAACAAAAAAACATTCCTTTAGTAAATCAACCCCAATGTCAGCAGTTGGCAAATTATGAAGATGGTTTGTGTCCATTCAGTGTCTTCTGCATATCTGCACAAAGTATTTCTCATTCTGAACAAAGGGATTAGTGCTGTCAATACATGGGCCAGAATATACTCCGGGGATAGTCATGCTAAAACACTTATTGTTAGTAATAATTAGAAATGTATAATCATTTTACAGTTCAGGTAACTGCTTCTTTTATTGTAAGTATACAGTTTATTTAACATTTATTTTACAATCAATAAGATTTTTTAATATTTACTGAACTTCGTTTTACCTAGTTACTGAACTTTGTGGTGGTTGTGTTCATATTTGGAGAATTAGAGGTAGACTGCAGAATACGCATGTTCTCAAAAATTAGGTGTTAAGTGGCGCCCTTCTCTATCCAATCTTCACTTGTCATAACCCATAAAAAATATTCTTCTTTCCATCTTATGTTTTATGTTCATTGACTATTTATTAACAAAAGTGTGAAGGTACAGTAACCCATTATAACTAGACATTAGTTTTTGTGCTGTATACCATTTAAAGTTGATTGCAGATTTTTACAATGCCAATCAGCACATAAGACTTAATTCAGTTTTCTGCACTACCTATGTAATTTCTGCTCTGTTTTACTGAAATATATTCATGGTCTACTTTTTGATTCCCAAAACTTTCAGCCTTGTGTCTTCCAACATGTGTTAGCTTTTATGTTTTATAAGTAAAACGCTGGTGATTCCACTAGTTTGAAATTTTTTATAACCAAGTACCAGCAACGTTTGTATTACTGTAGTTTACAAAGGGACTTTAGGTAGCTTCACGATGCCTCATGTTTTCTGAGCAGCACCAAGAATAAAAATATCTAGTAACAAAGGTTGTACTATAAGTTGTAGATTTATTTTTTTCATTGAGATTTACCTTTTATGCTAAAGGATTCTTGCACTTTTGGCACTTAAGTATTTGAACACACATCTGTGGCTAATTAAGATATTCTCAAAATATTGCTTATTCTGGTAATAAACACATTGGTTTATTTGATCTATATAAAACAGGAAATCAGAAAGAGTTTCTGTTTTAAAGGTGTTTTCCACATGGTACATAGAATGCTTCAATGATTCCGACCTTTCCATGTAGCAGAAAATAGAGATT